ATACGATATGATTAATTTATTATATTACATACATTATGCTTACTTATTTATGCATACATTATTCTAATTTCAATTATTTACTTGTTTCATATAGCTGTATCACATATTCCCATTCCATTATTATTACTCAATAATGAATGCTTTTATAAATCTAGCTTAAAACTAATTGATGCACAATATTTTGGACCAAATCCTCTTTGGTCAACATATAATTACCTGTGCAAAAAACATTGATTTTCTAATTCAAGTCCAAAAACGGGCATTGTTTGTCCCTGAGCCTTGGTGATAGTCATCGCAAATACTGTTACCTCTTAAATGGTATCGTGCAATCTGATGGTATCGAAGAAATTCATTCGAAAATAATCACTTCTTATTTAAAACTTTCTTGCAGCACATGGCTTCTTTTTTATTTCTAAAGTTCATTGCCTGAAAATATTGGAGCATGTTTTTGTCTTCGTCAAAATTGGGCTGTAATATTAACACAATGTGTTGCAGGCTGTAATATTAGCTCATTTTATTCATTGTAGTTTCCTGCTTGATGAATTCACTATGAAACACTTCTATGTTTTAATACTTACATGGTTATTTTTCAATAGACTCAATAGTGCACCATCAATACAATTAACTTAATTAATAATAGTCAGAACCAACTGCACGTTAATCATCCATAGATAATATCCATTTGAATATTTGAATATTTGAATATTTGAATATTTGAATTTTACCACTGTGCTTTATTAGATTTAGTTGTTATTAGAGTTAGTTACTGTTAGCACACTATAGGCGGGCCCCGTAAAATTACGCTCTGCGAGGGCTGTTGCTTATCGGCGGGCAAGGTATTATTACGCTTTGAATAGACTAACTTTAAAAGCGAGTCAAAATACTTTTATCTGATCGGTTTGCATATGATATTGAAAGAATAGCTCATACTTTTCTCTAGATTCAATTGATTTACGTATTGAAAGACTTTTAGAATAAGAATAAGGATAAGAAACAATATGTTTTATCTTCAAGTTTCTTTTCATTCAAGCTACTCGCAATTTGTTTTGTAGATAAATATGCAGAATTTACAACAATAAAAAGGGGTTCAATATATATTTTATCAAATATTTTAGTTATTAGTCAGATTTGTATAGTTCAACTCTTTTTTACATTGTTATTTGCAATAATGAAATAATGGCATCGGATAGCGATAGTAAAGTTTGCGCCAATATTTTATCACAAATTGGAAGTGATTTTGATGTTACTGATTTTGGTAGTGTATGTGGATGAAGATTTTTTTTATCCTAGAAGACGTAGAGTTTTACCGATTATTTCCAGAGATTCTGAAAATAATGAAAATAAAGAAGTGGAGTGGTCAGAATTTGACAATCCTCCAATTATTGAATCATTTTTAGGTCAAAGTTGCGTTGTTTTGAAACCAAATAGTTTAATTGAAGTGGTTCAGCTATTTTTGCTATTCGGGCCCCAGCACCTCTTCATAAGGGGTGATTTTTTCCATAAATTTCACGTATGTAAAAGTGGTTTATATATCTACTGTACGTTAAATTTTTAACTTCTCGTAGGTTAGTTATAACTAACCTATATATAGTAATATATAGTGTGCGTGTGTTTTTGGTGGCCGCATTTTTTTGTTCACGTTTTCGGGCGCACGAATCAACCGATTTGAATGGTTTAAAAAACATTCGATTCCTATTGATAGGGAGATGTGCTCATTAGTTTTTGGCAATCGCAGGTCCAGCCGTTACGGAGATACAGAGCAAAAAGTGCAGAAAATAGAAATCGAGTTTTTGAGAGAACGGAGCATCCGATTTGAATGATCTAAAAAACATTAAATTAGTAATGATTGGGAGAAGTGGTGATTAGTTTTTGGCAAAGGCAGGTTCAGCCATTTCAAACATACGGAGCTAAATGTACACAAAATGGCAGTTTTTGATAGAAATAAGCATCCGAATTGAATGATTCAAAAAACATTCTGATTGTGTTGACATAACAATTGCTATAAAAAAAATATTTCGTTCAATATACCTCGAACATTTCGTTATGGTACAGGAAGTTTCAGCAATTTGCCTTAAGGCACGATGCCATACGCCACTAGTTTTTGTTAGTTTTATGTTTAATTATGCATTAACTGAATAATTTTTTTATAGTTCAAAACAACCAGACGTTTTTTTTTAAAAAAAAAAAGTGTAAAAAAATATGTTCAATGTGACAGCCATTTCTGTTCATGCGAGGCGACGCTACACATATCAGTTTGGTCTTACGAGTATTTTTACGGGGCCCGCCTATAGTGTGTAAGCTAGGAAAATGATAAATTTGGTTATAATGCATGATTTGTATCGTGTAATAATATAAGGGTGTTCAATATATTAATATACATACCGTGAATGGTGATATTCTCTGCTAAAACTTTCAATAAGCATTTGACATATAATAACCTAACCTCACAAATATATTTCACCGTATGCTTATTATCAAATCACAATTGGCAACATAAAAATACATAATATGTTTCCAACCGTCACCGTAGCTCATAGAAACGCATCGTAATGCGTTAACTCCTGCATTGAATTCGTGGCTTTATGGTTTTTGTCTAGAGTGGTAGACTCTCGACAGAACTCAAACTATGGCGAAATGTCAAAATGTTTTTTAATTAAATAATATAAAATTTCGGCTATTAATTGAGATTTTTATTATATCCTATGTCCTAAATGGGATCCATATGTACACGGTGAGCAAAACCAATTTTAAATCGGTTCAGTATTTTAGGCGTCCATAGAGGACAACGCCTGTGACACTAAATTTATATATATTAAGATATATATATATATATATATATATATATATATATATCTTCTATATATATAAAAATAAGTCGGGTTTTCCTTCCTGACGAAATAACTCCAGAACGCGCGAACCGATTTCGACAATTTTACATTCGTTGGAAAGGTCTCGGGCTCCGCAAGGTTTATAGCTAAGAAAATTTAAAAAAATTCAACAGAAAAACGGAAAACATATTTTCTTTTTTTACATGCGGCGTCATCTCTAAAACTTAGCATGTACTACAAACCAAACCGCAGTCGGTAGATGGCGCCGGTAGATATATTGTTTGACATCTCAATGTTCACCGTTCAGTTAAATTCAGTTGACAAACCGGCATTGTGTTTACAGTGAAATTGTGCAAAAAAGTTAAATAAGTTATTCTTTTCCGTATATCACGTGTTTTGTGCAAATTTTTGTCTTTAAAGCAGGCGTTGCTCTTTAAGGTGGTAAGTTAAACTGTGTAAATTATGTGGATAGTGCATTTGAGTTTAAATTCACCACTCTGTCCATAGTCTGAAATGCCTATAGGACGACGTGCGAACATCGGTCGCCGCACAAGACATGCAAGCCAGCAGCAAGTGTATTTACTAAACTTAAGCGAATGCAGACAAAATATAATAAGACAAAATGCCCGGTTAAGACAACGCATCAGTACACGTAGATCATTGACATCATACAATCGCTTGGCATTCCAGTATGATCCCACTGCAAACTACAGTGATGATAAAAATTTTGATATTGGACCAATGACGACTATATACCGATATTGCAATGCGTTAAAGTTCAAAAGAGAAACGGCTGGATTGTGCTGCGCAACTGGAAAAGTAAAACTGGATCCATTACTTGCACCACCAGTGCCACTGAAATCATTGTTTGATGGAAGTGACCCCGATTCCAGCCATTTTCTTCAACACATCCTTCAATACAATAACTGCTTTCGCATGACTTCCTTTGGAGCTAATATCATTCAAGAAGGCGGCTTCATGCCGACTTGCAAGGTAAGAGATACAACGCACATAACCAATTACTCACACCAACACAATGAATTGCACACCACACACTACACCATCACACGATCAGAAGTTACACCGTATTCTTCAACTAATGATTGTTTGCAATTACAGATACAAGGACAAATATACCATTTGCATGGTTCAATGGTGCCAACACCAAATGAACAGCATCAATTTCTGCAAATATATTTAATTTCGTCGATGGTGGATCAGCTGAATGTGCAGTGCAATATGCAGGAAGAGTTAAAGAGACGAGTTATTGAACAGTTGCAATCATTTTTTCACGCTAATAATGCTGTGGTTAACATGTTCAAAACAGCATTGGAACAAATGCCATCAGATACGCACAAATTTATCATAAGAGCGGATTGTACCCCAAGAGGTAAACATGTGCGAAGATTCAATGCACCCACCGTTAATGATGTTGCTGCAATTATTGTTGGCGATCCAACTAAATCGCGAGACATTGTCGTTCAGCGAAGAAGCAATATCATGCATCGCGTAAACGAGACACATCGTTTGTACGACGCGTTACAATATCCAATCATTTATTGGCAAGGGCAAGACGGTTACGACATCACGTTGAAGATGGTCGATCCAATTACAGGTGCAATATTAACACACTAATTATTTTTATTATTGCTATTATTTGTTTCCATTAACAATTCATTTCATTTTGCATTTTCAGGCTTATCAACGAATAAAAATTTAAGCGCTATGAAATACTATGCATATCGTATGATGATTCGTTCACATGAGGAGAATGTCATTCTGAAGTGCCGTCGGCTATTCCAGCAATTCGCTGTCGACATGTATTTCAAAGTCGAGACCGAACGTTTAGCGTTCATTCGATTCAATCAGGCAAAGCTACGATCTGAGGACTATATACACTTGCGAGATGCTATTCATTCAGATGGTGATGTTCAGAATATTGGACGTCTCACGATTCTCCCATCATCTTATACCGGAAGTCCACGCCACATGCACGAATACGCTCAAGACGCTATGACTTACGTGCGACATTATGGAACTCCGGATTTATTTATTACGTTCACTTGCAATCCGAAGTAGACGGAAATTGAACGTGAGTTGGAAATAGGCCGAAAACCGCAAGATCGCCATGACATAACAGCCAGAGTATTTCAGCAAAAACTCAAGGTTATGATGGATGTGCTTACAAAGTATCGAGTTTTTGGTGACACACGTTGTTATATGTACTCAGTGGAATGGCAGAAGCGTGGACTACCGCATGCTCATATCCTAATTTGGTTGCTGAATAAATTACATTCAAATGAAGTGGATGACATCATATCAGCTGAAATTCCTGATCCAGTCACTGATCCCCATCTACACGATATTGTGACGACACAGATGGTGCATGGACCGTGCGGTGCATTAAATCCATTATCGCCTTGCATGGCTAATGGAAAGTGCACAAAACGATATCCGCGACCGTTAGTTGCTGATACATTCACAGGGAACGATGGATATCCAGTTTATCGTCGGCGTTCAAAAGAAGAAAATGGTCGAACTATCAAAGTTAAAGTTCAAAATCAAGAGATCGAGATCGGAAATGAATTTATTGTACCATATTGCCCGCTGCTATCTCGAATTTTCAGAACACATGCAAACGTTGAAAGTTGTCATTCGGCCAAATCAATCAAATATTTGTGCAAGTACGTCACAAAAGGCACCGACATGACTGTGTTTGGTATTGCGTCGGAAAATGCGAATGACGAAATTAGCAGCTTCCAAATTGGCAGATACGTCAGTAGTAATGAAGCACTGTGGCGATTATTGTCATTTCAAATTCATAAGAGATATCCCACAGTTATGCATTTAGCAGTGCATTTGGAAAACGGCCAAAGAGTTTACTTCACTGAGGCTAATGCGGCACAGCGAGCTGAGAGACCACCATCGACAACATTGACTAGCTTCTTTGCTATGTGTGAAGCAGATCCATTCGCAGCGACGCTGATGTACGTTGATATGCCTAAGTATTACACTTGGAATCAATCAACAAAGAATTTCCAACGCCGCAAACAAGGAACCCCAATTCCAGATTGGCCACATGTGTTTTCCACGGATGCACTTGGTCGCATATATACTGTTCATCCTAGAAGTGATGAATGTTTTTATTTGCGACTTCTGTTGGTAAATGTACGTGGACGAAAATCATTTGTGCATTTGAAAACTGTGAATGGCCACCGATGTCAAACATATCGAGAAGCATGTCAACTATTGGGTTTGCTGGAGAACGATTCTCATTGGGATCTAACACTTGCGGATTCAGTTGTTTCATCAAATGCGTACCAAATACGAACGCTGTTCGCAATTATCATCACCACATGCTTTCCTTCACAACCAATACAATTATGGAACAAATACAAAGACGACATATGTGAAGATATCTTGCATCGCTTGCGCATTCAAACTAACAATCCTGATATCCAAATAACCGATGAAATCTACAATGAAGGATTGATTCTGATTGAGGATCAATGCTTGACTATTGCAAACAAGCTACTAATTGAAGTAGGAATGATTGCGCCAAATCGATCGATGCACGATGCATTCAACCAAGAATTAAATCGAGAGCTGCAATACAATGTTGATACATTGCAAGAATTCGTTCGAATTAATGTGCCGTTGCTGAATGAACAGCAAAAACAAGTATACGAAACTTTAATGCAAGCGGTGGCCAATAATACTGGTGGTCTATTCTTCCTGGACGCACCTGGAGGAACAGGGAAAACATTTGTCATTTCATTGATTTTGGCCACTATTCGATCAAGATGTGACATAGCTTTAGCGTTAGCATCATCTGGAATTGCAGCGACTCTTCTAGATGGAGGTCGTACTGCACATTCTGCACTTAAGTTGCCACTCAATTTAAACACAATTGATACTCCAACATGCAATATTTCCCGATCCAGTGCAATGGGAAAATTGTTGACGCAATGCAAGCTCATTGTTTGGGATGAGTGCACAATGGCGCACAAGAAATCACTTGAAGCATTTAACTTTACACTGAAAGATCTTCGGCGAAATAACAACATCTTTGGCGGCTTGATGATATTGTTGGCAGGCGATTTCAGGCAGACGTTGCCAGTAATTCCCCGTGGAACGCCTACAGATGAATTGAATGCTTGCCTGAAAGCATCACCGTTATGGAATAACGTAAAAACATTATCGCTAACCACTAATATGAGAGTTCAACTTCAAACTGATCAAAGTGCTGCACAATTTTTCAAACAATTGTTAGCTGTTGGAAATGGGAAAGTCCCAGTTGATGCGACATCTGGATTAATTACTCTTACCAATGACTTTTGCCGATTTGTAGATTCTCAATTAGAACTTATTGAAAATGTTTTCCCAAACATTAGCGAAAATTATCAGAATTATGCTTGGTTAAGTCAACGAGCAATTCTTGCCGCAAAAAATAATGATGTGCACGCATTGAATTTTGCCATTCAGTCAAAAATTGCTGGCGATTTGGTGACATACAAATCCATTGATTCCATAACAAATCCCGATGATGTAGTAAATTATCCAACGAAGTTTTTGAACTCTCTGGAGTTACCAGGATTTCCACCACATAACTTGCAACTCAAAGTTGGCACTGTTATAATGACATTGCGTAATTTGAATCCACCGCAACTTTGCAACGGTACTCGACTTTCAGTAAGAAGACTTATGCCGAATTTGATTGAGGCAACCATTATTAACGGAAAGTACGCAGCTGAAAATGTATATATTCCTCGAATACCAATGATTCCGACTGGTCTTCCGTTTGACTTCAAACGATTACAATTTCCAGTTCGCCTTGCGTTTGCAATGTCAATTAACAAGTCGCAAGGTCAATCGCTTAGTGTTTGCGGTATAAATTTAGAAAATCATTGTTTTTCGCATGGCCAGTTGTACGTTGCCTGTTTACGAGTTGGGAAACCATCCGCTTTGTTTGTGTTAGGCCAAAAAACAAAAAATGTTGTTTACCAAAAGGCTCTTCAATAAAACATATAATTTGCAGATTCACTTTCTTCTACTTAGAGAACTTCAACTCATTTTTGTAATCAAAATAAATTCATTACTGTTGTGTAATAAAATCAAATTTTTCCTTTTCAAATATAAACCAAACAAAAAATTTCTTCACCTTTCTCACGAAACCATCTGGTGGCGAAACGGAGTTCGTCGGGTTTGCTAGTCTTATATATAAAAATGGATCGCAAAATGTGTTGGTAAGCGCATAACTCAACAACGCCTGGACCAATTTGGCCAATTCTTTTTATAAAATGTTCGTTGAAGTCCAAGGATGGTTGTTACGGCGAGAAAAAAACGAATAATTGCCGGGAAAACCCTAAAAACAGCCCTTTTCTTCTTTAATCGAGTAGGCAACGCAATTTGAAAAAAACAATGATCTATGTCATGACATTTTGTGTAGTTTTTGATAATCTAATTTTGAATATATTTATATAAACATAGAAATATCTTTCTATTAATCAAGCTATATTGGCAGCCAAAAACATTGATGTAAATTAATTAAATTTCAAAATTCAAGAACAAATTACAGGCGAATCAGTTGATTCGGCAACTAACCAAGACGATCCACCGGAATTTTTAAACTCGCTGGATTTGCTAGGATTGTCACCTCACAATCTTCAATTAAAGGTTGGATCGGCAATCATAATGTTGCGAAATATCGACCAACTATATTCAAAGGATAGTATAAAGCAGAAGATGTTCTCGCACCATGCATCCCAATGCGTTTACGGTATCATTAAGTGTTTGTGGTATTAATTTAGAAAACCCATGTTTCTCACATGGAAAATTGTATGTTGTTTGTTCCCGTATTGGAAAACCATCAGATTTGTTTGTCTATGCGCCAGGTAATCAAACAAAAAACATCGTTTATCACAAAGCACTACAATGAAAATTGAACTGATTTTTGAATTATGGTTTACATTATTAAAATTACTTACTTTTAAATGCTTATAATATTTTATTTAATTATTTTTAATTCACACCGAATGATTACCAGGGTGACGGTTCTGTTCAGAATATTTTTTTTGACAGGACGAAGTCTGTCGGGCCGGCTGGTATATATATATATATATATATATATATATATATATATATACTCTCGAATTAAAATTAGAAAAAAATATGTTTTTTAATAAATTTTTGAGTAATTAACCATTAAACTTGTCGATACCTCAAAGGTACCATTAACTGATGTTATTTTGCACTTGTGGATTTTAAGGAGCTCTTCAGGACGTCCAAAATATTCAATTGAAATTTTGGTTTTACATTCTTCAATGCATGTAATTTAGAAATGAAAATAGAAAATAAAATGTTTCTTGACGAATTTTTGAGTAATTTACAGTTAACCATGAGGATACCTCAATGCACTATTATTTTATGTTATGTTGCACTTGTGAATTTTAAGGAGCTCTTGAGGACGTACGGTGTACGCTAATCAATTGAAATGTTGGTAAGTTAATTTTCAAAATATACACTTTTGAAATAAAATTAGAAAATAAAATGTTCCCTAACAAAATTTTGAGTTATTAACCATTAACCATGAGGATACCTCAATGTACTATTAATTTATGTTATATTGCACTTGTGAATTTTGAGGAGCTCTTCAGGACGTACCGTACAGACTAAATAATTGAAATTTTGGTTTTATATTCTTCATTGTATGTTTTTTTCAAAATAAAATCAGAAAAATATATGTTAACAAATTTTCGCATAATTTGTACTTAACTTTGCCGACAGCACGATGTGTATTTAAATTAAATAATATATTAATTGTAATATTTTGGGGGCTCGCCAGGACCTACTATGCGGGATAAACAATTATAATTAAGGGAATTATATTCTCGAGTGTATATACTTTTGGAATAAAATTACAAAAAAATATGTTTATTAACAAATTTTTGAGTAATTAGTACTAGACTTCGTCAATACTTCAATGTACCATTAATTTATGTTAAAATGTACTTGTAAACTTTAAGAAGCTCGTCAGGACTCGCTATGCAGAATAGACATGTGAAATTTTGATATTATATTCTCTAATACATAAGCTTTAGAAATAAAATTAAAAAATAAAATGTTTCTTAACAAAATTTTGAGTAGTTAACCATTAACTATAACGATACATCAATGTACATTAATTTATGTTATCAAGCAATCGTAACTTTTAAATACAACTTTGCTCTCGCCGTTTTTACAATACAAGTCCTCTGCAAAAACGGCATAGGCAAAGTAGTACACTTGATATATTTTTTATTAGTATACCGAGTTGCTGTAGGGTTTAATGATGTTAGACAAGATTGTTGATTAATTAATTTTATGCAATCTTGTCGAAGGAACCGTTTATATTAAAAGTTATGGCATATATAATACATTTGTTATTTCATAACAAGTAGGTGTACAACTTTTGTTCCGCCGTTTTTGCAATACGATTTGTATGCAAAAAACGGCGGGAGCAAAGTTGTACAATAATTAATAATATATTAAATTATCCAGGATACTCATATAATATACATATATACAAGTTATTTAGTAAAAATTAGTGAAAAGTGTCAAATATGGCGCAAAATTTGAATTTGAATTTGAATTTGGTAAAGAATTTTTTTTAAATTATAGATTTTAATTTTTTTAAATTGTAGATTAATTAATTTTGAACAAATTTGTCGAATAACAAAGTATACAAAATAATTAAAAACATCAAATGTAATATATTTAATTAACAACAACCTCAAGAGTCCGATTAATTTAAACAAAATTTATGTTTTTCTACCAAATTTAAATTCAAATTACGCGCCATTTCACTAACTCCTCCTCCAATTTTTAATACTATTAAATTTTATTTTTTAGAAGTGTTAACACTGTCTTCGGGTGCGCGCGCAACCCTTCACCTTTAGAGATTTGGACGACGATGATTTTAATGGACATAGTTTTTGTTTAATAAAATATTAAATTTGGCGTCGAACGTGTTGACTAGATTTTAGACAATAGTCAGTTATTATTTAGTTATTATTCGGAAATCGGACAGAAGTTTTACTGTGACTTTTAGTGCTAGGATTAAGTGGTAATTCGGTGTTAAAAGTGTTGGACAAAAATTGGATTTTAGTTCGGCATTTTAGTTACAAAAAGTAAAAATGGCGAAGGCTTGGGGTGCAGAATTTTGTTCGAGCACGTGGACAAAGTAAGTTTATTTTTCAATTTATATATTGTAAAAAATAATTTGTATATATATATTTGATTAGTATCCTGGATTATTCATTATATTATTAATTATCGTACAACTTTTCTCCCAAATTTTTGTCAAACAAATCGTATTGCAAAAACGGCGGAACGAAAGTTGTACACCAATATGTTAATATATTAATTGGTTGTTATATTAATTTATATATTGTGAAAAATAATTTGTATATATATATATATATATATATATATATATATATATATATATATATATATTGAGTTGTACGCTTGATTGTTATGTATTATTTGTGCCGTAACTTTTAAACCGTTTGCTAAAGAAAAATGCTCTAAAATTAATTAATCTACAATATTGTCTAACATCATTAAGCCCTACAACAACTAAAAGTAAAAAGCGAGTAAAAATAAAAATATATCACGTGACAATAAAAAATATATCAAATGTACAACTTTGCCTATGCTGTTTCTGTAGAGGACTTGTATTGTAAAAACGGCGCGAGCAAAGTTGTATTTAAGTTACGATTGCTTGATAACATAAATTAATGTACTTTGAGGTATCGTCGTAGTTAATGGTTACTCGATTTAATTACTCGAAAATTTGTTAAGGAGTATATTTTATTCTAATTTTATTTCTAAAGCTTATGTATTGGAGAATATATTATCAAAATTTCACATGTCTATTCTGCATAGAAAGTCCCGACGAGCTTCTTTAAATTTACAAGTGCATTATAACATAAATTAATAGTACATTGAAGTATTGACGAAGTTAAGTACAAATTACTCGAGAATTTGTTTAGAAACATAATTTTGTAATTTTATTCCAAAAGTATATACACTAGAGAATATAATTCCGAAATTGCAATTATTTATCCCGAATAGTAAGTTCTGATGAGCTCCCGAAATATTACGATTAATATATAACTTAAATTAAATACACATCGTGCTGTCTGCAAAGTTATGTACAAATTACTCGAAAATTTAAGAGACATATTTTTTTCTAATTCTATTATTAAATTGGATATACTGAATAATATAATACCAAAATTTCAATTATTTATTCTTTACGGTACGTCCTGAAGAGCTCCTCAAAATTTACAAGTTCAGTATAACATAAATTATATGTTCATTCAGGTATCGTCATGGTTAATTGTAAATTACTCAAAATTTTGTTAGGAAACATTTTATTTTCTAATTTTAGTTTAAAAGTGTATATTTTGAAGAACACCCTACCAAAATTTGAATTATTTAGTATACACGGTACGTCCTGAGGAGCTCCTCAAAATTAACTAGTGCAATATTACATAAATTAATAGTACATTGAAGTATCGTCGTGGTTAATTATAAATTACTCAGGAATTTGTTAAAGGACATACTTTTTTATAAATTTATTTTTAAAGTGCATGTATTGAAAAATATAAAACCAAAATTTCAATTGTTTATTCTGCACGGTACGGCCTGAAGAGCTCCTCAAAATTCACAAGTGCAATTTAACATCAGTTAATAGTACATTGAGGTATCCA